GGATTTCTTTTTTCTTTTTCTCTCTCTCTCTCTCTCTCTTTTTTTTTTTTTTTTTTTAATGTAAAACTTTCCTATACATATATTTTTTTTTTCTCGTGTAATGCATATCAATAAAATATATATAATGTAAATGGTAAAGAGTATATTTTCTCAAAATCATCACATATATATTTAATAGTTACCAACAAAATTACACCAAATAAAAAGCAATGCTATAATCTAAATTTGAAGTTTACATTCTTCTTGCTTTCTTTCATCTTGATGCTCGGAGTTTTTGTAGAAAAAACATAGACAGTAAATAAATTATTTGAGAAAAAAGTATATTTGTATTTTTATTATTTTGTTTTTAAAGTTTAAAAAGATGAATGAAAAAAAATATCAGCAGGTTAGGTCGGTTAATTGTGGATTGGTTACTTAAATTGAAACAAACCCATCCTGTCTTTTTAATGGTTAAAATTAATCAAATCAAATCGATTTTTTGGTTCAAACCAATACAATCCGACCTGACTCGATTTAGTTTAATCCATTTGATCTATTTTCGATTTTTTTGGACATCCCTACGTCTAGGGATGGCAATCAGGCTCATCGGCTCGAGCCGCCTGTGACTCAATTAAAAAAAGCTTGAATTCGCCCGGCTTGAAGTACAAGCCTATATTCAAAAAAAAAAAAAAAAAAATTAAAAGGCACTAGGTTGCTTTCAAACAAGGTAGCAACCTCTGCCTTTTTTATTAATTAAAAAAAACACCAAAATCACAACCAAAATCGACTCGGTTCGAAAAGTCCCGAGTCGAAAGCTTGGGTCGAGCCTAATTTTTTTGGCCGAGTTTTTACTCGGCTTGGCTCTTGCCCCAAAAAAAAACTTGATCATTTTACCCGAGCCAAGCTCGAGCCTTAAATTTCGGCTCGTTGACATCCTTACCTACATCTCATCATTGATGATAATTTATATCAAAATTGACGCGACACGAAATAAGGAATTCAAGTAAAAACCTTAAGAGCACGAAATTTTGAAATCCATCAACTTATGAAGATAATAAACTCACAAATTTTATAAATGAAAAGGTGTTCAAAACAACCAAATAACAAACCTATTTATAAGGTTTAGATAGAAACTTAGTTTAGTATGACTAAAATTAATGAAAACAAAGTTTAAACAAACTAAAATTAAAAAGAACTCATAATAAACTAAATGACAAAAATAGCGCTAAACACTTCAAAAATTAGCTTTTGAGTCCTAGACAAACTCGAATGGCCAAAATCTATTGTACGTTATGGCATAGCAATAGGTATTAATCGTTTCGTAGTCCTCTTTTTGAAATTTCCACAATGAGTTCACATCTCAAAACAAAACTTGGAGTGAATTACCTCAATTATTCACCATAGTCCATAATGAAATTTTTTTTGTAGCATAAGTAAAAATTGTAAGTGATGCTGACTTGATGGTCGTCCAAATGTAGTAGTTGGTCAATATTTATGAGGACACCAACGCCAGTCGAGGCATGTCCATTAACTTGCGATCCATCTCAACATGATGAATGGTGCCAATTCGTACTCGCTATGTCACATACTCACCATTGTGGTCTATACACACCCAATTTCCCTCAAAATTATTTCAATTATGTTAGTTGTATATTATTGAGTTACAATGTGAATGGCATTCCTCATATGTGGATGAAATCTAATCATTGATGGAGAAAAAGTATTATTGAAATCAATATATGAAGAGCTGTCACCTCACACATTATCAAATTTGATGTAAATATAGCAAAATTGAAATCATTTCCTTACCACCTACTTCTTAAAGCTGTCACCTCACACATTATCAAATTTGATGTAAATATAGCAAAATTGAAATCATTTTCTTACCACCTACTTCTTAAAACTGCCGTCTCCGAAAAATCTCTCTACCAAAGTAAAGTCATTGCTTACCAGTTACCATGCACCTAAAGATCATCACCTTTGTACGCTGCCTTTCTATACCAATAAAAAAATTAACACCTATATGAATGGAATTAATCTACTTGTACATAGTTAGTTTACAAATTAAGTATTGGCAAAATAGTTTTCGCACTTTTTGTTTATTTGTCTTTTAAAAATATGATGAAAAAATAAATTGTTTTAGGCTATTTCAGCATTCTTTTAGACATAAAAACTTTATCACACATAAAATGTGTTAACTAATAGAAAGTTTGAGAAAAAGAATGAAATAAAAATCTTTATGGATATAAGTACTATAACAAGTAAAAATTAAAATGTGGTGCAAGAAATAAAGATTGTGGTGCGAATATAATTACCCAATTGTAGTATTCATATCCTCAAATTTTCATTACTTAACACATTTTGTATTTAATAATAGTTTTATGTCCAAAAATCTGTTGCAATAGCGTAAAAGGACTTATTTTTCATCATATTTTTTAGAAAATAAATAAATAAAAAGTGCGAAAGAAAAATTTTCCTTCCTTTCGAAGCATGGAAACAAAATATTTTAATATAAATAATCATCAATGACAAGACATTCTAATTAATGAAAGGTTGAATATGAGAATTTGACGAAAAAAGTTAATAAAATAATTGTTACAATAAACAAAGATTTAGGAATTTGATTTCAATTAAAATATGGAATATCAAATAAAAAATGTGATGGCAATCTAGTCACCCCTCTTATAATAATTGATTAGTACTCCAGTATAAGCACATTTGTTATATAGACAGGTAATTAAGTTTTCAAATGTAAAAATTAGGTATGAGGTTTATTTAATCAAGAATTAGGTATTAATTGAAATATGAATAATACTATAAAATTTACCCACCCACCTATCCCAACCCAAATCTCACCACAAAACATAAACTAATTCTCCATCCCCGTCTCACTCTTCTCTCTATCTATCTCTAGTCACGGAAACCACACGTCGATCGTTCGATCCAATTGATGTCACTTATAGCCTGTAATACCCGACAACCGATGGGATATCCAAGTCCTCGTCACCATAACCACCACATCGATGATCGCTACCTATAATCAAAATAACCAGCCCCACTCATAATTTCCATCATTCATTCATAAAATATCTACAGTTTTCCCAATTTCACTCTCCATCCAGCAACAACTTCAAACCCCTGTTTTTAGTGTTGGAAAAAATGAGTAAATTGCTCACTTTTGGCACAATTTTTGGTGGGATCCGTTGGTCTAATTTGGAAGATCAAAATTGATTTGTGTTATTCTCCATGAGAACATCGAAATCATATATTTACTTGTCAAAAATGAAACTTGGGTGAATGAGAAATTGGAGCTCAAAGTTGACCATTGGAAGAGTGTGTGTGGGAAAATGGAATTTGTCCCACATAGGAAAAAGAATAAAGCATTAACCACTTTATAAATAGTTACACTCGAAAGGGTGTAATTATGTGTAGCATAGAGGCTGTCTCCACGTGCGCGCGCAAGCACTACAAATCATTAACCGAAATAGCCTTCGAACCTTGAACTTGTGTACGGGCACAACTTGCGTACACGAATGTCGAATCGAATGGAGCAAAAATTGGCCCGTTTGGAATGTCCACATTTTGCAATTTTTTTGCTTTCTCCAACTGATCTTTGAGTTTCTGAAACTGCCAAAACTCCCAGAAATTGAAGCAACTCTAGATTTTATTGCCATGAAGTTTAATGGGCAGATTTAACATATATTAAATCTCATAATTTTTCAACAATTGCAACACACGAAAATAGGAGAAAAACATTATGCATATTCTGATTCTGCAAAGTTGGTCTGTCTCGATTTCTGTTAGCATCGTCATTGTGGTGATATTGTTCGAATACTAATCAGTTCTCCAGAATAGTATTTATGGTGCTCAGATCCTACTGATTTTATTGTTGTATCCTAATAAACAGACACCGGGTTAAGACTCAAGCACTTTCAAATCTATTTTAAGGAAATTATGCTCGAACAGGCCTCGAATTGAAAGTTCATCCGTCATTTATATATTTCTGCAATTTATTTGTGTGATTCATATAATTTTCAGTTTTATTATTTTATTGTTCCATTCATGTTTTTTAAAATTAATCTACGTTATTTGGCCGACTAAATTATTTGACTAAATTAATTTGTTTATTCT